ACGCTCCAAGTACCTTCATGAGGCTTATGAACCAGGTACTTAAGGCTTTCATTGGTCATTTTGTTGTGGTTTATTTTGGTGATATTCTAATTTATTGTCACGCCCCAAAACCCGAATTCGAGGCGCGACAGACGCCGTGCACTCGTGAACGAGTCCCACAAGTGCACAAGGCTCGGAACTTATTCAAATCACAAATCTCAAGAATAAAATCTCACTTACAAAAGGATGATAAAATTTAAAACTTATATCCAACTAGAATGGCTAGCCTTCTAACTCGTCACTCCCTTCAGTTTCCCCGTCCTCGGTTTCGCTTCCTAAAATGGTGGACAAGGGAAAACTATGAGATAACTCAGTAAGTAAATATGGATAGCCCTTGGGTAAAACTTTTAGCATGCCAGATAAACAGTTTCATATAACAGAACGTTCAATGGTAAACCTTTAATGCAAATCAAATTGGTTCAGTTGCAAAACATTCAATGACAAACCGTCAATGCAAAAATCAGATTCAATTCAATAACAAAACGTTTCCTGACAAACCGTTAATGCAGAATAAAACTCAGTTCAGTAGTCTCATCTATAAGTCATGACCAGCGTTTATAAACCTCCCACTGGCGGGCACAATAGTTGCCAATGTTTAACCCCATAGGCAAGGTTACAGAAGTGCCAGTGTTTAACAACTCCCACTGGCAGGCGACAGTAATGGTGCCAGTGTTTAACCCCATTGGTAGGGTGAACCGATTCTACAGAAATACATGTCGACATGTGCTAGCGTTTATAAACCTCCCACTAGCGGGCACAGTAATCAGTAATCAGTAATCATGACTATATCCGAGACAAAACCATGCAGAGTTTACAGAAAACCCAAATTTCACAATCAATCCCAAATTTCAAAACAAACCGGAAAATTTCCATGTGGGCATGGATTTATCAGAAAACTCAGAATTTGTAAACTCTCAGTTCATCAAAACAGTTCAGTAAATTCCAAATAGGCATGCTCTACTCAATACCAATGAAAATAGTTTCATTTCAAACCAATCATGCTCGGTGCAATAACTCCAGAAAAACAATGAAATTCTCACTTTTCATTTCAATCATGCTCAATTCCAGAAAACAATGAAATTCCCATTTTCACCCCAATCATGCTCAATTTCAGAAAAACAGTGAAATTCTCATAAAAACCATCACAATTTCCATTTCAGTTTAATCACATTCAGATGCTGATAAAATCAATTTAAAATCACTTTAAACCTTGCCACCATCTCAAAAACAGTTTAAAACATGCTTTA